TGATCAAAATGAAAAGAAGTTANAGTATCACTCCAAAAAATTAACGAGCATCGAGCTCAATCGTTAGAACATGGCCCTGAGGGAATTAGACTCCACCCTTGGAGCACTGTTCGAAAAAGTTAAATGCGTGCCTCAGGCTTGGCCCCAAGGAGGACAAGTTTATGGATTTAGAAGTCCAAAGATCAATAACACAATTTAGTAGAATGAAACAAAGCTACATGATACAAGAAAATCTTGAAGGAATATAAGTTTTATTGATTAAAAAAGAAGGGGTTTTGTGTCCCCTGGAGCATACAAAGAAGAGAAATTTACAAAAATAAAAAAGCAACATCAAAATGGCTAAGGGTCCCTAGGGCCTTCGGGGTCCACCTGCTCTTCAGGTTTCCCACAGACCTCTTTGCCGCCAAACCCACCACGCCTCCTTAGAAACTCTTCCCCAACACCAAGTATTGCATCAAGCTCAGTGTCGGACTCCCCATGAAGAATGATGGGGGTGTCGGGGAGAGGGAGATTGTCGTTCTAACCCACTAGAGTAGGGGAAAGGAACCAAGGGGAGGAATGTTGTTCAGAACCATCACTAAGTGTGATTGGTTCATTCTGGCCTTCTGTCCCTCCCACCCCTTCGGCTGGTCCTTCCGGAGCCAGCTCGAATTGTTGTTACTCTTCTAAAACAACCCTTACTTCGGATTCCCCGAGCAGACTATGCATCAAAAATAGGGATAAGTCGACTTTCACCTCAGCAGCGTGCAAGGCCGCTTCCCAACCTTCTTTAAAGGCCCTTTTTTTTTCATCTTCAAAGTCTGGGACCATATCATCTTGGCACTTATAGTATAGGTCCTCATACGCTTTCTAGGTCCTCTTGAGTTTCCCGGCCTTCTCCCCCTCCAAGGCCTCCACTTTCGCAGTCAAGGCATTGATGATGGACTCGGAATCTTGCAGGTTCACGTCGGCGACCCAAACCCTGAGCTCGGCCTCCTCCATTATTTTAGTTGCATCGGCCTCAACTACCTTTGCCTTGTCCATCTCGACGGTAAGAGCCTTGGCCTTGCGGATCAGGTCGGTGAAATATTTGGTTTGATCACCGACCATTCATTCCACCCCTCGAATGTGCTCGTCTTTTCGAGAAAGTTCGTTCCGACGTCCCTCTCCATTTGCTTGTATGCCCAAAAATGATCGATGATAACCCTCATCTGCTGGCATGCCTGAAAAGAAAGAACGGGGGTCAAAAACAGCCAAATGATCAAAATGAAAAGAAGTTAGAAGTGATCGGTGCACTTACTAGCAGGTTATGTTGAACGATTGCTTGTAAGAACCTATTGTCCCCTTGCTCCCGTAGAATGGCCATATCAGCCTCAAAATGCAAACTCCTGTTGTCGTCCAAGGCAACGTCAAGGGAGCGAATAAGCGAGTCAAACTCCAAGAATAGTTCCCCTCTCCTGGTGTCAACTTAGGGGGCCCATTCGGCGGGGACGTTCAACATCGGAGTGTTGTGCCGTTGTTTCACCCGTCGCTCGTTTGATGTCTTGGGGTCTCGACCATGACGATCCCTTTGTCGCTCGTCCGAGGAGGATACTTGGCGCCTTAGGGGTGGTTGGTCCCTCGGCGGGATCACAGGGTCTCAGTACTCCTGCTAACGTTGCAGCGGTGGTGGTGGCAGCTGTCAGCATGGTGGAAGAGGCGAAGGAACGACGGCCAAGGCGGTGCTAGAAGGCCCGCTGGCCTCCGAGAGCCTTGCCCTTCTCGCCGCCAAGGTGGCTTCTAGGGATTCTGCGATGATAGAAGGACAGTTGAACATCTCTGGAGATGGTGTTCGCTCAGTGTCTCTGTTTGAGTCGACTTCAAGGTCCTCCTCCTCTTCCTCCGAAGAAGAACAGTCTTCCCAGACTGAGGGATCGAACGACAGCGGGACCTATGAGAACCTGGTATAGGTCGGGTGGTAGGCGAGCAATACGTGTGCTCCTCGGGAAAAAGGGTCAGCTGAGTTATGGGACCAGACTTTGAATAAGTCCACAAAGTTGACTTGGGACTTTAGGGGTTGAGCAGCGTCAGCCTTGTATCGTCTACAAGAAGAAACCAAAAAGGAAGGTCATAAACAGTAGTAAAGAGCTGAGCAATTCGAAAGTTTTTGCAATACACACCTGAATCCCTCAGCACTTTAGGACAATATAATCCATCATAATCAGGCTCGTCTCCTTTCTCCCAACTGTCACCGAGCACGATTAGATCCTGGACATACCCCTTGTCTGAATTCGGCATGTGTGTCACTAAATACATGCAAAGGTCCCGAGCTTTGGAGGTAGTACCTACCCTCGGCGACTAATTTTAAGTCATAACAAAACAGGATTTCATCTACCCCCAGGTTTACCCCCAACCGAGTATTTAGGGCGACCATGGCCATGACCACTCTAAAGAAATTGATGCCACACTGGAGGGGGGAAAGCCTTAAATGCATTAGTATCTTCAGCAAGAGGGGATGGAGGGGGAACGTAACTCCCCATTCCATAATGAACTTAGCGTAGAAAGGCATGAACTCTACACTCCCTATGTCATTCCTATGGAAATGATGGTCAAAAGGAAAGGTAAAAATAGGCTCTCGGGAATATGGTACTTCTCCGTAAAGGCTTGAATATTGGAGTCTTTTACCTCGGTTCTCCTCAACCTACCAATGTCCCTAGGCCTAGCAGGTTCCCTAACTATTGTTCTGTGTATCCTGGCCATGAATGAGTTTTTCGAAGAAATATGGAAAAAGAAAGAGTAGATGAAGGAGAAATTTGGGGAAGGTGAGTACTTACAGATGACAGATCTTTGAAAGAGGTGCATGGGAAAGGGAGAACGGTCGCTCATAAGATTAAAGGAGAGTGCTCAGGAGTTGATTGCTGAGAGAAAGTGCAAAAATGCAAAGTTTGGAAATGGCCAAACGATCTCTTATTTATACCCTATAGAGGGAACGGGAATCGAACAGGCAAATCATCATTTGGAAATTTAAAAAAGGAGGCACTAGACATGCAAGTAACTGCCCCTGACACCCTAGCGTGTTCTAGAACCACCAATCTCCATACACCACTTGTCCCACGTCGCAAGAAGAATGGAGGCTAGGAGCAGTTGACAGGACTTTAGGTGGCTCAGCAGCCCCCAAACTGACACGTGGATTGCCATAGCCGTTACGAAATTCAAAAGGCACCGAGAAATGACACCGAGGAGTTATTGCTCGGAGGAGCCGAATGAACAGGCTGGGATCAGCATTTAAGGAGATAAAACAATTCATTAATGAGGACTTGAGTGACTGTGATAAGGCTATTAATGAGTCTCTGCATCCTCAAGGCCCTAAATTGACAGTCATAATTGCAAAGCATTAATGGTCATCACGCTGACTATATGTCCTCGGCAATCCTTGAAGCAGTATACCTCGAGCGTTAAACATTCAGAAATAGGCGTCAAGCGTTGATCAGAGGAACTTGAGTGCCCGAGGATAGCCATAAGTGCTTGGCATGCCCTTGAGCGTTTGTCCTATCACCTGAGCATTGAATACTTGCGAGCATCTAAATAGAGATCACTCATTACACATGGAGAAGAGTGCAAGCCACTAAATGTTGTGAGAGGACTCAAGACCTTTGCACTCATTACTGATACAGGAATAAATATCCCTCAAAAACATGAATAAAGGTACATGAACTAAACTGAGAAAATGGAAACACCGTGCTAAAGCCTCCAAATTACTACTGACTTAAGCTTCGAAGAGGATAAGTCGGGTGTTCACCCCGCCCCTTTCCTAAACTCTTTTGGTTGTTTCAGGTTCACCATCAAGAGGATCACAATTTCTATTCATTGCAGGAAAACTCTCGTGCAAATATTTATAAGAANGCCTCCAAACCGCTACTGACTTAAGCTTCGAAGAGGATAAGTCGGGTGTTCACCCCGCTCCTTTCCTAAACTCTTTTGGTTGTTTCAGGTTCACCATCAAGAGGATCACAATTTCTATTCATTGCAGGAAAACTCTCGTGCAAATATTTATAAGAAATTATAAGTACTTAAAAATATTTTTGAAAATTTATTCCAAACACTCTTAGGGGACCTATTTTTTCTATTAAATTTAGGGAGGTAATATTAACCACCGTACTAACTTTAAAGTAAAATTTAAAATGATTTTAACCGCAAAAAATAGAAATAAAATAATAATATTAAAAAATCATGATATTATCAAATAATTACTGCAAATGTCAAGGGATCTAAAAGAGTTTTGTTAACTGTTTTATATTTTCCAAATCTTGTCCGCAACTAGGCAAAAGAAGGGCAATAAACATGACTGCCAATCAGCAAACAACACGATTGCGAATGGTCATAAACGACTATTAAAATTTTATTTCAGTTCATAATTTCAATAAATTTGGAAATAAAAACATTTGGTGATGTTTCAAAAATATTTTAAAAACAAGATGAAAATAAAAAAAAATTAAAAATTTATTTCTAAAATATTTGTCAAAACAAACAAAACATGGGTCGAAATACTTCAAAACATAAAAATTTTGATATTTAATNACATTTTTGAAAAATTATTCCAAACACTCTTAGGGGACCTATTTTTTCTATTAAATTTAGGGAGGTAATATTAACCTCCGTACTAACTTTAAAGTAAAATTTAAAATGATTTTAACCGCAAAAAATAGAAATAAAATAATAATATTAAAAAATCATGATATTATCAAATAATTACTGCAAATGTCAAGGGATCTAAAAGAGTTTTGTTAACTGTTTTATATTTTCCAAATCTTGTCCGCAACTAGGCAAAAGAAGGGCAATAAACATGACTGCCAATCAGCAAACAACACGATTGCGAATGGTCATAAACGATTATTAAAATTTTATTTCAGTTCATAATTTCAATAAATTTGGAAATAAAAACATTTGGTGATGTTTCAAAAATATTTTAAAAACAAGATGAAAATAAAAAAAAAAATTAAAAATTTATTTCTAAAATATTTGTCAAAACAAACAAAACATGGGTCGAAATACTTCAAAACATAAAAATTTTGATATTTAATGAAAACAAATTGTAGATGGTCAAGCTTTTGATTCAGCCATACCCTACAATATACAAATATGGGTTCGATATATGTGACTGTCAACTTGTATATCTCTATTGAACTTTAATGATGGACATAATTTAAACCACAGGTTTTTTGCTTGCCAAAACTTGTATCAATCTCGTAGCTATGGTTGCGGAAATCAGTCATCACCAGGAAAAATGGCCTGCCATATTTTTGGCATAAATCATTGGGCCACGACTGCTTCAACGTGTCTACAGCGGCTGGAGTTCTTGCTCGAGAGCAGCAGAATCAACAGGCTTGTATGAAACATGCGACTGCTCCCTGCGTCTCCAAATGAACCATGCACCAGAAGCTGATAATCCAAGAATGAGTGTAGCAATAACTGCAACTACAACCAAGTAATGTTGCTGCCACCACGTCCTGCATCATTGGCAAAGATCCAGGTCAAAAGGAAGAGCCTAGGATGATACCATAAGCATAAAATGCACAAAGTATATGGCAATATCCCTTTGCTCAAAGCAAAGCGTGAAGGAAGTGGCAAGATAGCAAGTCAATGCAGTAATCGTAACAAAAATATGAAATAAAAGAAGACCCACAAATATGGATCCATGATGAAACATTTTAATGGTTATCTCAAAAAAATATCCCATAAAACTGACCAGAAATTAAAACTTCATCGTTGAGGCTTATACTTGCAGTTGCAGAACATGCGTGCATACATTGGATGAAATCCACATCAAGACCAACTGGCAAGGAGGCATATATATTCGTGTGTGTGAAATCCAAACCATCTGAAACTTTAGTCCAGTTATTTTTGAAATTTATTTTGATTTATTTTTTTTGTAGTCCTTGGGGGGGGGGGAGGCAAATATTGAAATCATCATCGAATTCCTTATGTCTTGATTTGTGTGAAAGAGGAAAAAACAATTAATAGCACACATGTATTAGATTGTTGGCAATGAGAACTAGCAAAGGCATTCATGTCGTCATATGGTTTTAAAGAGCGAATCCTTCTATGACACTTGATAAAACGAAGCCAACTTTTTCTATGTCGTTTTCATTTAAGGCCTGAACGAACAACAAGAATTTGTTAGGGAAATTCTTAAGTTAGCCACTCAGACTGACCCACTATATGATATCAAAAGTCAATTCTTGTTCTTATTCTTGGCAATGCTATTGAGAAATTTGAAAGCGTTTATGGCACAGATTAGGTCGAATTCATAGAATATATGGATTATCAGATAGAACCATCCTCCGTCCCCAACCTTTCTGGTGTTGTGTTTGCCAAAAAAAAATGAAAAATGATTTTGAGAAAGCCTAAATTCATATCAAGCAGAATCCCAATCCACACTGCCATTTGTAATGCATATCAACAAGATGCTAAACAAATAATATTCTATCCTCCCAAACCCCGTCCCCCTAAAACAAAAAGGGAAATAAAATAATAGAAATAACGTCCATACCGTTTTGGTGGGGGCTCAGTGTTCCAATTAAACAACCGATAACTTCCGAAGGAATCAGGAAGATGCACACGATTTTCAGCTAACTGGGCAGTAATACTCTGCCAATAAACATAATCAATTAGAAAATAAGCATCCTCAATAACAAACTGTTTCTGTTCTTCTGCAAAGAAACTCCTTGCAATTCTCAAAATGGTAGCTCACCATTGCAATGGCATTAGAAATGTATTTATCGGATCCAGCTGGCAAAATGGCCCATCTTATGAGAGAATCATTTCCTTTTGATGTAAAATCCAACAAGTGAATCTGCAACCACTCTTCTCAAGTTACTATAACTCTAACGTGAAAGTCTTTAACATGCAAGGAGTGCACATAAGCAACATAAATACTTGAGCAATCAGCAAGTGGATTGAAGCAATTTTCCAAATGCTGATACAAGCTGCTTTGAAATAGTCTGGTGTTATGAAACACAATTGATCTACCTGTGACGCATTAACCTCTAGCTCCTGGGCAATGAACTGAGCAAGGTCTGTGACGTGCGGCTTCAGGTCCGAGTACTTTATATTTAACAACATATAAAATGTTATGATTTCAACTCCTATTTGCCCTGTAAATCGAAGGTATGAGAATAGGTCATCAGAGATCACTCAGATCATGATGAGAAATAGAATGTTTTATTAAACTACTAATGTTTAGAAAATTGCACCGAAGCGAATAACGCATAAGTTATGCAAATTGCAATGCGCACAAGATTAGGGTCCTCGACAAAATTACAACAAACTGATGATACTATTCATGTATCCTAAGAAAACCAAGGGAGGGCCTTAGCCGCCCCATTGTCCAACTCTGATGGTACTATTAATCTATGTATGGATCATTTTTGCTTTCAAATTGCTGAATTGACCCCCCCTTGGCATAAAAAATCAGCCGCTCCTTTCTTCTAAATGCACCCATCATACACCTCCTCCCAACTCAACCACCTCTCCACCATTCCCACTCAACGGCCTCTCCATCATTGCACAAATCAACCTCCATCTAGAGAAAAAGACCACCCAATCTAGAAGCATTTGATTTTAAGCTTAACTCCCTCCCCCTCCACCCAACCAAAAAAAATTAATTCTACAATGAATTAGGGCGGTGAAAACCAATTGAGCTACTTTTCCCCTTCATACTAAGTTACCAATTGCAAAAATCTAAAGCATCGTGTGACATACAAAACACAACTTTTAATGGAACTTGTACGTCCCAAATACCTAGAAACAACTCAAAAGATAACCTCGTATCTATCTTTCCTGTTTTTGGCGTCCCCCACATCACACGACATACTCTATCTATTCTCTCAATTGTGCCCTCTCTATACAACATATCAAGCACCTCCACCACCTTTACCTCTCAAATATGAAGTTGCACTAGGGAAGGTCATAAAGTATTTGTTGAAGTATATATACTTAAGTTACATTATTTAGCATTTTAACTTTTTGGAATAGATGGTTATTTATTATGGTATCGGAGCAGGTTGTCACGTGTTCGAATTTTGCCGCCACCTTAATAGTTAAAAAGATTTCCACATGCTAGACCCAAAATCTAGCCTTCACATAAGGGGCTATATTAAAGCATAAATACTTAAGTTATACCCTCTCTAACAACTTAAACTTTTAAAATAGATGATTGTTTAATAGTATTAAATGCAAATAAGATTGCATCTTAAAGGTTATTCCAAAGCTAACAGCTTATAGTACCTGGATGATCATACTGTGGAGGCTCGCTAGGAGGCAATGTAGGAGGCATATCTACAGTCAAGTTTGTCCTATTTAGAACTGGAGCCATTGGTGGAGGTGCACCATAGATGTGAAGTCTTTCCCATAACTCAGAACAATTAGTTTTCCAAAATCCAATCTTTTCATGTTCCCGATCATATGTTACAAGAGTATTGCGGACAATGATTCCTGTTACCAAATAATGGTACAACACAAAATCATAGAAGTACTTGTGAAACAAAGGAAAGGAAGTCTTCTCCCAATATAAAATGGGGAAAGGAAAGATGAAATTACACATGGAGAGGGCCATGTAATGATCAAATAATCAGAATGCATGTTTGGTGAAGCATAAATTACCTCCTAAAAGAGTGGTTGGATCCTTTCTATTCTGAAAAATCCCCAGGCAATATGCACCATGCACCTTTGAATGCTTTTTATAGATATGACAAGCAATAAAGCAAAGAAAAATATTCATCATAGGTTTCAAAAAGTGAAGCCGGGAAAAGTTGGGGGGAGAGAGGGGGGAATAGGTGGCATACCAAAATCTGTTGTTTTTCAAATAAGTGTTATAGGGAACAAAAATTTAGAAAGAGGAGTAATATTTTAGGTGTTTACCCGGAACAAGTAATTTTCGGGAGATAGGAACAGCTTCTGTCGATTGCTAAATACCATATCAACAGCTGGAAAGACTTTTGAGAGTTGCGAAACATCACTGCAGCAAAAATCAAGATTCAATAATGCTTGTGAAGTACAATCCAGTGCAGGCCCTATTAATGGGGGCCTGGGATGGACGACTGGGTACAAACCTAACTTCTAACTTTATTCACCGAAAATGGCTACCTCATATGCAAACCCACAACCAAAAGGCCACTAAGCTGAATTTTAACCATATAATCAGTGGGCTTCTTTTAACCAGTAGCCGCTTTTCTCTTAATTTTCATGATATAAAGATGAAATTATATTATGCTGCAAAGACTACCTTTCAGCACTAGAGAAGCAAATATCATTATAATTTGGATCGGGACCACGGATCTGTTTCAAGGACTGCAGTTCCTTCATGATCTGGATGCAAATACAGAAAATCTCACTATATACGGCAAAAAGGGAATTAAAAAGATAATGATCAAGTTCTTATATAACTGTGGCTGGAAAATTTAGAATAGAATACCTATAAATGATGGTAAGGTAGAACAAGCCATTATTTAAGTTTCATCAATAGTACAATCGACAGTTTTCTAAAATGAATGTGAACTCCCAAACGAAAAGTAGAAGAAAGATTCAGAAATGATGAGCCCACACATGAACAAGCACCCTTATGCACACGTACCTGTGCACAGACACACATTGACAAAGGGGGCTAGGAGGAAAATGGTGTTTGCTTTTGATTTGCTTGGAGATCATAAGGGCCAAACAAAATTGCCCCAAAAATTGAGGAGCTTGAAGGCCAACAGCATTAAAGGAAGTAAGAATGTTTTCATGATAAAAATTAGAAAACAACAACTGGTCGGCGGGTGAGGCCCGATTAACAAAACAGCAGCAAGGAGCCTACCGTTAAGACATTCTCAACCTACCATGTACTTTCATCCAAAATCCTTAGCCGTAAAAGTACAACCAAAACTGAAGAAAATGAGTCAAGCAGATTATAAAGCAATGACAAGACCTGATTGAAGGAAGCAATTATCCAGGAACAACAACAGAATAGAGCTCTGGCATGAGACCTTCATACCTATTTTTCTGGGAGGAAGGATGCCGCACTAGGTACAGAGCACTCAGTTTGGGATGAACAAATTTTTGCATTATGTTCATTTATGGTAATCTTACTGTTTTGAAAAAGATAAGACATTCATGCAAGGTGGATACAGATCAACACTGAAAATTTTGACCCGGATATACTGAAACAGAGTTCTAGAAAGTGAAGCAAATGAATGAAGGATAGCCACAAAAAGTACCATTAATCTCCAAAACTCTCGTTAGGTTCCTTTAACATTTGCTCTCCCTGATTGCATTTGATTCTAGTAAATGAAACTCAACTAAGCCTATCTTCATCACAGAAGAATTATTAGTTGATCTACACTTCTCAGTGAAAAGAATAACACTCATGTTGCCCAACAAAACTCAGCTCTAAAAAACAACCAACCCTCAGAATTATACCTTATTTGTCTCCAAATAGAAAGAAGTTGATGGAGGTAAAATGTATAAACTATAAAAAATGGTTAGTAGCGAGAAACTAGCTTTAACAATTGCGCCAATTTGCATAGAAACTTGTTATTTTAGCAGCTAGTAGAACAAACAAGAAACAGAAGTCAAGCTAGAATTCATCGCACAGCCTCCGTTGACAGATATAACATCACTCAGACTCGGAAATTGAAAAAAAAAATTGAAATGATATAGAAGAAGCACTTAATCTTACAGCATCCTTAAATGCTACAAATGCTGCTTCTGGTAGGTAAGCATACGTGGTGCCACTATCTAGTACTGTTCCATGATTTCCATCAAAAACCCTTGGGTTTAAAGGCAACTTCTTCCCAGCAATGTAAATCTCGTTCAGCTCAATGTTGTAATATGGACTGTTGCCATCCCGAAACTAAAGTAAATGTGTTAGATGTATCAAATATATTTGTAGAAAAGAAATAATGTTTGGTATGTATCAGATAAATATTTTCTAAAACGTACCTGCGGACAGGGTTTGAATGGGTAAAGACCATGTCAGCAGGGGGTGAAATTCCACCAAGAACCATGGCACCACCACCAACTTCCATTCCACCGTAACACAAAGAAAAAGAATTGCTTATTACACTTCTGTCAACAAGTTGATCCACTATACTGAGATCGCCACGGCCCAAACCCATTATGCCATCAGCATGCTGACTGTAAAGGTCACCAGTTTCCCAGTTTTCACAACCAAAAACAGAACGTTGGGGTGTAAGTGCACTTTGGTTGCCAAAGGATATAATATCCTCACCAAGGACCCCACTGCTAGAACTCATTTCAGCGTACTTTCTCTCATAAACACATTGTTCCCTATCATTATCACAAGTGCAATCAATGTTGCATTTCACAGGCTGGTAGGTGCTCGACAATTCCGGCTGGAACTTTGGATCCTGATGACAAACATGACATTCAAACCAATGAAAGGAAAGGGAAAAAGGGGAAGGCAAACTCTATGCAGATACAGGTGAATATAAAGCATTTAAAATGTCAAAAAAGAAAAAAAGTCTACCAATTCCATTTCATAGGTTAGATAGACGTGCTGTGCGTCGATTTGGTACATGGTACATGTACGCGTATGCGGCATGGTACATCTTTCGATGCACAGTACGATGAGGGTAGACTTAGTTGGTATGTTGTCTTGGATCGCAGTTTGTNTTTCATAGGTTAGATAGACGTGCTGTGCGTCGATTTGGTACGTGGTACATGTACGCGTATGCGGCATGGTACATCTTTCGTTGCACAGTACGATGAGGGTAGACTTAGTTGGTATGTTGTCTTGGATCGCAGTTTGTTTCTCATAGGTTTGTTTTCTTTATTATATGAGATTGTATACAATTATACATTGATCTACACATAATTAACTAATATTTATTTTAGGGTTTGAGTCACAATTTGGGGTTGAGAATTTAAGAGATCTAGATCTTGAACCCACCTTGCTTCGGATTGCGCAACCCCAATTCGTGGAACGACAAGAGTATCTATGAGAGTGGCTCTGATGTGAATTCAAAGACATAGCTCGCCAATGAGGTTAATCTATCAGAGAAAGGCCTAAGATGGCCAAAGAAAGCCATAAAATGACTGGATAAAGGCTTATGATGAATAGGATATGCCTAAGCTTATTGGGATTATCAAAGTGATTGAATTTGATTTGACTGAGACCTCATCTCGGGCACAGAGATCTCTTATCCATAAATACCTGAGGCCCAAAAGTTCAAGCACAGAAAAATTTTCCTTTCCATTCCTTCCATTATTTTTCTGAATCTAAGACTAACTTAACGTTGGAGTATCGACCGTTTTCTATTTTCAAATACACAAACGGGTAGATATTTATCTGTCAACTGTTTTTCTACTTTGCAACTCACAAAAGGGTAGTTATGACAATTTATTACTACTAGTAATTCATTAAGAACACTATGCAGAGCTTCCAACATTTGCTATGCTATGCGCTATGCAGCTCTATTCATTCCATTGTTCAATACACACGGAGAAGAACAAAGGGAAAAACATATACTTTGATAAAAGGAGGAAACACTTTTTTCTAAAAAAATCCACTACTTGGTTGCTCTAAGTATCAGCGCTAGATAAGGTCAATAGTCTCACATTTACCCCTTCCTCCATTCTTCCATTCTTTATTGGCTTATTTCATAGGAATAGAGTAGTCAAAGTAATTGTGTCTATCATTGAAGGCAACCAAGAGTCACTCAAGGCTTTAGTACTAGACTACTCAGCTCGTTATAGTCTATTAGCAATCTAAAGTCCAATCATTCTAGTCCGGTAAACAAGCAAGGAAGCCAACTCCTTCGGTCCCTTCATCTCACCACAACACAAGTTATGATATAATCTATCTATATCTCACTTGATTTAGTCATATTATTCAATAAGATATGTTTTTTTATGTTTGAGGCCTCACTTCACTAACTAAAGTCGGTTCCTCATGAGCTCCTTAGTTAGGCAAGGCTCCTTCTCCTTCTGAGTATTCAATGAATTCTCACGGGGGAAAGCCTTACTCTCATTTAGTTCAAACGTAGCATGTAGAAGTCAAGGAATTGTAGAGGCGACTTGCAAAGAGAATTACAGTGAGAACTTATGGACAAAATATGAGCATTCCAACGGCTTTTACCACTTATGATCAATGTTCACAAGAGCAAGATGGTTCCATATCTTACAATGTTCAACCCATGGTTATCACAATTCACTCAACTTCTAACGACCCACAATCTGGATACATCGATCCCAAATGAAGTGGGTTCGCAATACTCTTTGGACATGTGGTAGTGAATAATATTTGAAAAACATCTATGTGTCTTCAAAGTCATATAAATTATTGTTAATGCATTGCATTGTATGTGAAAAACAAAAAAAATGGGTAAAGATTAAAATTAAAAATTACACATAGTTCTATGCATATAAAAGTATCCCCGAACTATCTATATATTTATTTATTTTTAGATATATTTGGTATGTATCCGATAAGTATCCTTGAGTATCGTATCCGATACGGTATCCAATATGAATATGTCGACCTTGACGAAGTATATGTGCTTCATAGATAGAAACCCTAATCCAATTAGGAAACCATATTAAATTAGGAAACCAAATAAAATCCTAATTGAATTAGAAAATAAAATAAAATAATTTCTTAATTAAATTAAAAAATAAAATAAAATCTTTTAGAATTTCCTCGCTGAACGACATTGACCATGTTTAAATAAAATATCAAAATTCTCGCTATGTGCATGAGTATGTAGTCAAATCTGGGAAGAGAACAATGATATTTCTGAAAAGGTGGGTGAAATAATTCGAAGTCTGATTTTATGCGCCAAATTTTTTTTATTTTTCTTTTTTTTTTTGAGTAAGTGCAACACAGATACATATCACATCAACACCTCCAATTGTCGCATACTAATTTTTTTGCTGTTTTGATGAAGTGGATTCATCAAGTGTAAGAAAAAAACAAAGTGCTATATTAGGTATTAGGGAACGGAGTGAATCGATGTGGGAAACAGCACAAAGCTGAAGAGACATTGAAATTAAGGTGATAACCTGATGTCTACCACACCGTTTGCACGTCGAGCACGGTACATACGTTACAGTACTCCCCGTATCAACGATCAGAGCGAATATCTGCGGCGGAGTTCCGATCCAAAGCCGAGTAGTGTAGTACCTGTATATAGCATCACAATTCAACTTACCAAAAAATCTCACCTGAACTTGACAGAATATAAGTATCTGCACGAACAAGATCGAAGGAAATGTGTTAAATGGTTGATGAATTACCCGTTCAGGAGGAGATCGTCGTGAAGTTCCATGCGAGCATTTGGCCGGCGAGACTCAAATTTCTGGAGGTGTCGACGAGAATTTCTTAACTCTAAATTGGCAGGGGAGACTCGGGAGGAGTTGGGAGGAGAGAAAAAGAGAGGGAGGAACATCGTGTTGCGGTTACCGCCGCCGTGTGGTGGCCGGAGAATGAACTTGTTCGGATCGTCCGAAACAACTACAGCGCAGGACAAGAAAACGACGTCGAACGAAATCAATATGACGACGAATAAGATGATGACTGTGGGGGTGGTAGGGGTGGTGGTGGTGTCGAACCCTGCCGGCGCCATTGGATCAGTCAGTGGTGGCTGGGGTGATCGCAAATCACCTGATTTCGCTGTTGAATGTTTGAGATCGGAAACCAGAGGATTAAGGAAGATGGAGAGCTCGCTTTCTGAAACTTATGAGTTATGACAGAGGAAGGAAAGGGGGACTGTCGCTGATTGGAGGAAGGAAAGGGGGACTGTCGCTGATTGGAGGAAGGGAAGTCAGCGGGGTCTAACGAATAGACTATGCAACCTTCGTGACAACAAACTTGTTGGTACTTCGATGTATCTGAGGTCTTGAATTTGAAATTGGAAACCAAAAATATAAAGACAAAAGAAAATGAAAATTGACATTTCAATTATTTTTTGTTAAATTTCACCTTCATTACCTCCGCCTCTTATATTATTGGTTAATCTCAAATTGCATTTCAAAAAATTGTTCGAATTTTAATTTGTATTTTTAAATATTAAAAATTTTAATTTACTTCCTTAAAAGAAATAAATTTGTATCAATTTGCATATCAAGTTAACAATAGTAAGTTTATAGTTTAAAACTAAATGGATAAATTATACCTAAATCTCTTCATGTTTGTCACTTAATCACCTAAACCCCTCACATTTGAAATATTACACCTACATCCCTTGAGAATTTAAATATAACTAAAAATATTCTCCAAATCGGTTATTTAAATAATCATATTTAAGTGATGCATTGTATTGGATATAAAGAATATTATTTAAACACCTACATTATATTGAACATTCAAATGCTAAACTTGATTTTGAACTTTAGAGTATAATGAGACTCACAAAATAAATGATAGTATGAAATTATAATTTTTTATTTGAATGAAATTATATTTTTCAACGGTTATATTAACGGATATCAACAATAATGAGTTATGTGTTAGATGTGCACGTGTATAAGTAATATTTTAAATGTGAGGGAGTCTAAATGATTAAGTGACAAACATAAAAAGATCTAAGTATCTATTTAAAGAATAATTTTTTATTAGGTTAAGGTGCCTACAGTGAATCACCGGAAGAGAATGCATATGCATACCGTAAGTGGTTCCCTGTAAATAATTTCACATGCTTTCGAAGTAAACTCTCACACCATTTTCATCATATTTCTTTATTTGCAATTGAATTGTGAGACTGTTAAGTATTATTGTCGACAAACTTTATATATTTAATTTTTTTACATTGATGACCTTCTGTGATAATTCAATGCTCTATATACAATGACTAGTTATTACTTATACTTAAAGGCACATAGTAATAAAAAATGGTAAACAATAAACGTATTTGTATTTATATTCAAAATCAAATCACAAATATAGAAAAGAGATAAAAAAAATTTAAACATCGATTTATAATGGAGGTGAGAGGTGGTGGGCAATAATGGNAGAAAAGAGATAAAAAAATTTAAACATCAATTTATAATGGAGGTGAGAGGTGGTGGGCAATAATGGTGGTGGTGATAGAAAACAGTGATAGTGGTGGTGGTAGTGGTGGTTGTGGCGGCGACGATGATGGTGGCGGNTCCCTTCCTCCATTCTTCCATTCTTTATTGGCTTATTTCATAGGAATAGAGTAGTCAAAGTAATTGTGTCTATCATTGAAGGCAACCAAGAGTCACTCAAGGCTTTAGTACTAGACTACCCAGCTCGTTATAGTCTATTAGCAATCTAAAGTCCAATCATTCTAGTCCGGTAAACAAGCAAGGAAGCCAACTCCTTCGGTCCCTTCATCTCACCACAACACAAGTTATGATATAATCTATCTATATCTCACTTGATTTAGTCATATTATTCAATAAGATATGTTTTTTTATGTTTGAGGCCTCACTTCACTAACTAAAGTCGGTTCCTCATGAGCTCCTTAGTTAGGCAAGGCTCCTTCTCCTTCTGAGTATTCAATGAATTCTCACGGGGGAAAGCCTTACTCTCATTTAGTTCAAACGTAGCATGTAGAAGTCAAGGAATTGTAGAGGCGACTTGCAAAGAGAATTACAGTGAGAACTTATGGACAAAATATGAGCATTCCAACGGCTTTTACCACTTATGATCAATGTTCACAAGAGCAAGATGGTTCCATATCTTACAATGTTCAACCCATGGTTATCACAATTCACTCAACTTCTAACGACCCACAATCTNTGATCAATGTTCACAAGAGCAAGATGGTTCCATATCTTACAATGTTCAACCCATGGTTATCACAATTCACTCAACTTCTAACGACCCACAATCTAGATACATCGATCCCAAATGAAGTGGGTTCGCAATTCAGATGACAAAAATGGACGAACCCAAATTGTAATACTAACCCTAAATCAATTCACTTTAGAACGTGTAATACAAATATAGAATATATATTAATTGACTACATGTATATAAATTTATAATTATACATTGTTTTAGATAATATAAATGGTAACTAACATAGTGTTTATAGATGTTCTGTAATATATAATGTTATATAACAATGAAAACGATCTATATAAAAATTCTAAAACAAATTACAACCCAAAATATTGTACTAGCTAAGTCTACCCCTATTATACCTCGTACCTAAGAACGTGTCGTACTATGTACCCGTACCACCTACCAAAACGACCCAAGATCCAGGTAACATTGACGAGATGATGAAGAAAACAGCGAAGGTATGTGATGTAGGTAAGCGTGTAAAAATACGGATCTAACGAATAAGAAAAGGGTTAAGAAACAGAATGAAACCAAACCTTTTTTTTTTGCCCACAAATATCAATTTAGAATTCTACTATGCCTGTTAATTCACATAGAATATCAAAAGAATTGAGAAAATAGAAAAGCTTTCTTAATATTATTAATTCACCAAAAGTTGGTTTGCCATAAGACTTATAGGAGTTTATATAATAGTAGAAACCCTAAACAAACTCAGAAAATAAAATAGTTTGCTAATTAAATTAAAAAATAAAATAGTTTGCTAATTAAATTAAAAAATAAAATAAAATTTTCTAGAATTCCCTAATTAAACAACATTGACCACGTTCGAATAAAAGACCAAAATTTTTATCACTCGTATTGTATCATTCTCCCTAAGTTAGAAAGAATTCGCCCTCAAATTTATTTTGAAATTTGAGTCTTAGTTTAAATTTAGGCTCCCGATCGGCCCTCCCAATCGGGGTTGTATATTTTGATCTTTGCTTGAATTTAGGTATTGACCAATCCAAAATTTTACCCCTTCAAAGACTATTGACCTCCCACTTTTTTTTTTTTTTTTGGGAGCCTGCCCAGTAAAGGAAGACCCCTTCAAAAATAGGCATATGCTGCTTTGTGCGGTGAACACATGGTGTTCTTTAGTAAAAGGCGAAAGAATAGTTCACTTTGTATTCCCCATGTAGCTATGTGAAAAAACTTGACCTCCCACAACTCCCCGAGAGACAAAGAAATCAAGTATAAAACTTTGAAATCAAGTAAACGATCGACTTTGCAAATAATCCTTCTACATACTTGTTTCAATTCTCGGGTGAAATATCATTTAGAAGGCTAAAGAGTTTCACCCGAAAAGACGTAACAAGACATCATCTCAATAAATATCTCCATCCAAGAATATTTTAGTCATGCTTAGGGTACTGAACACTTGGGTAGAATTTTGGTGATAGTTGGAATTACTAAGGTGTGGATCATGAAGGGTGTTTATGTCATGAGCAGCTGCTAGGGAAAGGTTTGAAATAAAATCATCCGTACTCGTGTTATTGGCGTAAAATCTAGTAAATAATCATCTTTCATTTATCCAAGTACTCATCATATATTGAAAAATCATAATTATCCTTGTTAATGATTAAAGAATCATCCTTGTTAATGATGAGAGAATCATCCTTCGGATATTCATTGAACATAAGAGTAAATCCCAATCAACATCTAACTGTTGTTGTGGCGGCTGCTGTTGTTGTTGAAAAATGACAGTTAAGACTATTATATGTTGGGTTAAAGCCTCAATCTGTTGTTATATTCTCGCATCCCTCGCGTTGATTCCTGCTTCATAGATCTTTTCCATAGGTCATCTCTTGGGCGACATAGTGACAAAAACGTAACTAAGCTTTGATATCAACTGATGTAGAAAGTTGTGTAAAAACATGAATCTAACGAACAAGAAGAGATTGAGAAACATAATAAAATTAAACTGTTGATTTATGCATAAATATCGATTTAAAATCCTAATTGATTCATATAATATTAGTTGTAAATGTTGCAATTGATCTATTGATTCCTAAGAATACCAAAGAAAAACTCTCTCAATATTATTAATTCACCAAAAGTTGGTTTGCCTAATTAGGCTTACGTTATATAATAGCAGAAACCTAAGAAGCACGAATACGGATACGAAATACAGATACGATACAATACCGATACGACGATACAACAAAACCCTAAAAAGTAGGATATGAGTACGGCTAGGATACGTCTACAAAAACATATATCTTATATTTGTACTATTATGTAATGACTTGATAGTTATAATTTTTAAAGATTATTTAACAATAATAAACAACATTAACAATTTTTTATTTTTAGAAAGCCTTCTACTATCATTATAGTACATCTACGAAATGAACTTGATTAATTAAAGAAATAAAAACCAACATTTAACTAGATTGTTTGCTTACAAGTATTTGTTACTAAAATTATAGTGTAATCAACCCATTTATACTCTTTGGACATGTGGTAGTGAATAATATTTGAAAAACATCTATGTGTCTTCAAAGTCATATGAATTATTGTTAATGCATTGCATTGTATGTGAAAAACAAAAAAAATGGGTAAAGATTAAAATTAAAAATTACACATAGTTCTATGCATATAAAAGTATCCCCGAACTATCTATATATTTATTTATTTTTAGATATATTTGGTATGTATCCGATAAGTATCCTTGAGTATCGTATCCGATACGGTATCCAATATGAATAAGTCGACCTTGACGAAGTATATGTGCTTCATAGATAGAAACCCTAATCCAATTAGGAAACCATATTAAATTAGGAAACCAAATAAAATCCTAATTGAATTAGAAAATAAAATAAAATAATTTCTTAATTAAATTAAAAAATAAAATAAAATCTTTTAGAATTTCCTCGCTGAACGACATTGACCATGTTTAAATAAAATATCAAAATTCTCGCTATGTGCATGAGTATGTAGTCAAATCTGGGAAGAGAACAATGATATTTCTGAAAAGGTGGGTGAAATAATTCGAAGTCTGATTTTATGCGCCAAATTTTTTTTATTTTTCTTTTTTTTTTTGAGTAAGTGCAACACAGATACATATCACATCAACACCTCCAATTGTCGCATACTAATTTTTTTGCTGTTTTGATGAAGTGGATTCATCAAGTGTAAGAAAAAAACAAAGTGCTATATTAGGTATTAGGGAACGGAGTGAATCGATGTGGGAAACAGCACAAAGCTGAAGAGACATTGAAATTAAGGTGATAACCTGATGTCTACCACACCGTTTGCACGTCGAGCACGGTACATACGTTACAGTACTCCCCGTATCAACGATCAGAGCGAATATCTGCGGCGGAGTTCCGATCCAAAGCCGAGTAGTGTAGTACCTGTATATAGCATCACAATTCAACTTACCAAAAAATCTCACCTGAACTTGACAGAATATAAGTATCTGCACGAACAAGATCGAAGGAAATGTGTTAAATGGTTGATGAATTACCCGTTCAGGAGGAGATCGTCGTGAAGTTCCATGCGAGCATTTGGCCGGCGAGACTCAAATTTCTGGAGGTGTCGACGAGAATTTCTTAACTCTAAATTGGCAGGGGAGACTCGGGAGGAGTTGGGAGGAGAGAAAAAGAGAGGGAGGAACATCGTGTTGCGGTTACCGCCGCCGTGTGGTGGCCGGAGAATGAACTTGTTCGGATCGTCCGAAACAACTACAGCGCAGGACAAGAAAACGACGTCGAACGAAATCAATATGACGACGAATAAGATGATGACTGTGGGGGTGGTAGGGGTGGTGGTGGTGTCGAACCCTGCCGGCGCCATTGGATCAGTCAGTGGTGGCTGGGGTGATCGCAAATCACCTGATTTCGCTGTTGAATGTTTGAGATCGGAAACCAGAGGATTAAGGAAGATGGAGAGCTCGCTTTCTGAAACTTATGAGTTATGACAGAGGAAGGAAAGGGGGACTGTCGCTGATTGGAGGAAGGAAAGGGGGACTGTCGCTGATTGGAGGAAGGGAAGTCAGCGGGGTCTAACGAATAGACTATGCAACCTTCGTGACAACAAACTTGTTGGTACTTCGATGTATCTGAGGTCTTGAATTTGAAATTGGAAACCAAAAATATAAAGACAAAAGAAAATGAAAATTGACATTTCAATTATTTTTTGTTAAATTTCACCTTCATTACCTCCGCCTCTTATATTATTGGTTAATCTCAAATTGCATTTCAAAAAATTGTTCGAATTTTAATTTGTATTTTTAAATATTAAAAATTTTAATTTACTTCCTTAAAAGAAATAAATTTGTATCAATTTGCATATCAAGTTAACAATAGTAAGTTTATGGTTTAAAACTAAATGGATAAATTATACCTAAATCTCTTCATGTTTGTCACTTAATCACCTAAACCCCTCACATTTGAAATATTACACCTACATCCCTTGAGAATTTAAATATAACTAAAAATATTCTCCAAATCGGTTATTTAAATAATCATATTTAAGTGATGCATTGTATTGGATATAAAGAACATTATTTAAACACCTACATTATATTGAACATTCAAATGCTAAACTTGATTTTGAACTTTAGAGTATAATGAGACTCACAAAATAAATGATAGTATGAAATTATAATTTTTTATTTGAATGAAATTATATTTTTCAACGGTTATATTAACGGATATCAACAATAATGAGTTATGTGTTAGATGTGCACGTGTATAAGTAATATTTTAAATGTGAGGGAGTCTAAATGATTAAGTGACAAACATAAAAAGATCTAAGTACCTATTTAAAGAATAATTTTTTATTAGGTTAAGGTGCCTACAGTGAATCACCGGAAGAGAATGCATATGCATACTGTAAGTGGTTCCCTGTAAATAATTTCACATGCTTTCGAAGTAAACTCTCACACCATTTTCATCATATTTCTTTATTTGCAATTGAATTGTGAGACTGTTAAGTATTATTGTCGACAAACTTTATATATTTAATTTTTTTACATTGATGACCTTCTGTGATAATTCAATGCTCTATATACAATGACTAGTTATTACTTATACTTAAAGGCACATAGTAATAAAAAATGGTAAACAATAAACGTATTTGTATTTATATTCAAAATCAAATCACAAATATAGAAAAGAGATAAAAAAAATTTAAACATCGATTTATAATGGAGGTGAGAGGTGGTGGGCAATAATGGTGGTGGTGATAGAAGACAGTGATAGTGGTGGTGGTAGTGGTGGTTGTGGCGGCGACGATGATGGTGGCGGTGGTGGTTGCGATGGTGACGGCAGTGATGATGGTGGCGATGGTGGTGGAGGTGGCGGTATGACGGAGGTGTGGGTGACGGTAGGTGGGGCTGATAGCGACAATGACAATGGTGGCGGCGATAGTGGTGGTGGCGGCGGCAGTGGCTGTGGTGGTGGTGGGTGGTGATAAACATAGTAGTGGGACGATTTCAAACATTATTTATTTTTAAAGTATTTATAATAAATAATTTTTAAAAGTATTTTTAAAAAATCACTCTAAACACACATTTATGGACTTATTTTTCATATTAAATTTAGAATGTTAATATTAACCGTTAAATTAATTTTAAAGTAAAATTTAAAGCGATCTCAACCGTAAATAACAAAAGTCATTTTGTTTATCTTTTGAGATTTGAATTGTAAGTTACTTTATTATATAAATAATTTGGCTAAAAAATTAAATACGGTTATTAATTTTAAATGCGCATTAATACAAATTTCTATTTTTGAGGGTACAAATTAAAATTTTTGATCATTGAGAATGCAAATTAAAATTCAAACAATTTTTTAGGGCACAATTTTGTAATTAAACCCCATGTAATTTCAATTCTAAGGTAAATTCAAAGATTATTATAAATTTAGACATCCTGAGCTTAAAACTTAGTAATCCCTTGGGTCTATACTATGAGGAATTTATTCCTCGTAAATTTTCTAATCCCGATATAAATGATTTATCTTTGACTAAACTAATTAAGAGATTAGTCAAGGAGTGCCTAAATTGACCCGAACAGCACCGGTGAATAAAAAAAAATTAATGTTTCCTATATTTTACAATCAACTGTAATTATTAGTTTTCAACTTGCCCCAAAGACAAGTGTTGGCTTCATATTGAACAAATTTTTTTATCACTTTTATCCCCTAAATTATATGATTTTATTTAAAGGATTTTTTAGGTTTGGGTATATTTTTTTTAAACTTATTTGAGAAAAAATGTATGGATTATTATTTTATCCTACAAAGTTCAATTTTAATAAAAAAAAAAAAAATCTTGTGATTAGGTAGAAAATTCAAATGACATTTGAATTTTTTTTTTACTTATTTACCTTTCTTTAAATTATACATAATTCTTATTCTTTGACTCTCTATCCTCCTATTTCTCACACCGTTAATGTCTCTCCCATATTTTCTCTCTACCTCCCTTTCTACGTTACTCTCTCTATCTCTCCCTCTCTCTTGATTACCCTCTCTATCTCTCCTCTATATCTTTCTCTCTCCTTGATTATTTATTTATTTTTCAAATATATAAAGATTTAACTTTATTTTTTCATCTTTTTCCCCCTATTTTTTCTCACTGTTAGTCTCTTTCCTTATCCTCCATCTCTCTTTATATTAACATTGAAACAACAAAATTACACTAATTAATTATACCAGTCAATTACAACTATCATTTAATACATCAAACAGTTACTCATGTATTTTAATAAACCAAATAATTATACTAAACAAGTACACGAAATTACGACACCCTGAATTTATGCGTTATTCGTGTAATTATAATTGAGTAACAAATACATGAATAACAAAGGAAATTATTAAACAAAACAATGAATTAGTTTTGAATCACATTATTATATTTTTGATCTGATTGAGGGTATAATATAAAAATTTTAATCTTTCAAGGTGTAAATTATGAATTTAAATATTTTTTAAGGTGGGTAAAGTGTTATTCACCTAATTTTATTTTGTCTAAAAAACTGAAGATACATCTGGTTTGAGATAATATGAGAAAAATAAAAGAAAATAAAAAGACCTCAATATTTAAGAAGAAACAAACATGAGAATCATAATTGAGAGGATCAAAGTGTAATTTATCACTCTCTTCGTAAATGAGTTTGCCATTTGGTTCATCCACGTAGAGGGAACAAAAATCTCCAAGAGCGAGAGAGAGAGAGAGAGAGAGAGGGTCATCCACGTTTGGCCAGTCTCGGATGGCATGGAAAGCACGCCGTATATGAAAAGCACTCTTACCTAACTTCTAATCTTGTTCTATTGGTCAATGCCACATTCGATTGACGATACATAGCATTATATTTCTATTTTAATAACGTTATTTTTATTGGAAATGTATGTTACATCAGATTTATTCACCAAACTCATTCACTTCGAAAACTTCTATTTGGAAATTAATTACTTTCAAGCTTATTTTTTTAACTCAATTATTTTTTTAGAAGATGTCATTTTAAATGTCAACTTCATGACTAAAGACAGCATTTGAAATAACGTCTTTAATATATAGTATTAAATATATGAAGTGCTTTAAAAATAAGGCATTAAGATGTCATTTCAATATAGTGCATTAATGGCATCATTTAAAAAGTGATTGACTTTAAAAAAATATATTTGAAAGTGATTAGTTTTACAAAAATAAGTTTTTTTATATGCATGCCTTTTGGTGAATAACTTGTTACATAACTTGTTCGTGAAATTTCTAAAAAATTGATGAATTAATAAACTCAGGTCAAAAAATATTAAATTTGTCAAACTTGTATAATAAATTGATCAATACGAGCCCGGCTAAACACTTGAAGCTTGAAACTAACAAAATCGACTGGACTCATTTTTAACGGTTCAAAATAGTAACTAGAAGTAAGGTTCTAAATAACGCATTTTCCACTTATGAACCAATTTTTTACTAATGGAGGGGAGTCAAGATCTTTCAAAACTGATAACTGACATAACCTCTTCATTCGTTTCACCCAATATATTTACAGCCTATTGATTGACCAAGATTCTCGCTCACCTTTAATCAATTTCATCCAATGACTTGGGAGAAAGATCATATGTAAATCAATGAAGCATAGCTAACACAAATTTTTTTCTGGTATACACAGCTTGAATCTGTGCTAACTAGACGATTTTTCAATACCGAACACAGAAATTCTGATGGCCATGAAGCCGAAACCAAAACTAACAAATCATGATGCCTGAAACTAAACCACAATTGCTCCTGGTAAGTTGATTTGATTCCACACAATTAAACCCCGGAAATTTCCCCTAGAAAATTGCAATACAGAACTGCTCAATGTTTCAAAAAATCAGATAACAAACGGATAAAAGCCACCCCCTCAATCTCAAGGATAGTTCAAGTAATAACAAGAACGAACTGTAAACTCAAAACTTTTAAATTTGAATTTTGACAATTCTTTGGGACTAGGCCATGAGGAATTTATCCCTTGTGAATATCCTAGTCTTGACATGGNCTCAATCTCAAGGATAGTTCAAGTAATAACAAGAACGAACTGTAAACTCAAAACTTTTAAATTTGAATTTTGACAATTTTTTGGGACTAGGCCATGAGGAATTTATCCCTTGTGAATATCCTAGTCTTGACATGGATGATCTGCCTTCAACTAGACCGAAGATGACCATTGAACTAAAAAAAAAGGTCACACTCTCCAGCCACCCTTAAATCCGACTCCCTGTTTTACAGCTTGTTACTTTTCTGTCCCTGCGGCTGCCTATAAGCACACTCTTGCACCTAGTTATACATGCTGAATGCATAGGCTCCCACAAAATCAATCAGCGATATAAATTCTGTGCGTGTGCATGTGTGTGCGTGTGTGAAGGAGAGGGCGAGGGGTTCAGAAAAATAATGAAGTGAAACACGAAGAAGATTAAATAACTCGATGGATTGAATTACTGAAAAAAGGTTGGGGCGTTGCCAACTCAACTAGTGTTACATTATGTTACAGCTTTGGGCTAAACTAAGGTCCACTAATATTCTGAAATTTGCTGACGACAATTACACTGATCCAGATCTTCTACATAGGATTGAAATTGTGTCAAGGTAGCAGCCTGTTCTTCCTTCCTTCTCCCATCAGATAATAGCATGCTCAAGCAGAAGCTATCATGTTTCATTTCACACCATGTCGAGGAACTAAGCTATCAAACTTTACAGACATCTAATCCCAGAAGTATGCATTAAAGTGGAAGATACTCACAGCTCAAAAAACTGATCATTTTGTACACACAAGTAGTTGGGTATCCTCCAATTGAAAGTGCTACATGAATCTAGGACTCTGTATTCAACGCGAGTGTTGGACAAATTATTGGTCAATTCCCATTTGCGAATCCCTTGGCTTGTACAATCCAATTAGAAAAGGTGCTGCCCCGTGAAATAAGGTATATTATGAACACAGCATATGCAGCAGTGAAAGCAGACACCACAGAGGTAAACAACAGTCCACTTCCTTCAGAAGAGAGAAATTCCAGCAAAAGGTACCCATTGATAACCATCACCAAGGCAGCCACAAGCCATGAAACCATCTACAAATAAAAACACAGCCAAAGAACAACGTAAATGCTTGCATAATCATTCACATGCTCTGCAACTCACAGTGAGACTATTTACTTGTATTTTCAATTCACGGAAACTATTAGATGGAAAAGCAAAACACTAGAAGAGAGAAGCCATGCTCGAGGAACAACAAGGGAACCAAAATTAAATATAGAGTAAACTGCACATATGGCCCTTAAATTATAATCCTTGTGTCAATTAAGTCCCTAAACTTTTTTTGTATCAATTGAGTCCTTGAACTATGTAATTGTGCCAATTGAATCTTTCTGTCGACTTCCGTTAGATTTTTTAACTAAAGTGGAGTAGTGTGCCACTCACATGATACAAAATGGTCAGAGTAAATTACACATATAGCCATCAAGCTATGACCTTGTGTCAATTGAGCCCTTGAACTCTCTAATAGTGTCAATTGAGCTCTTCTGTCTGTCTCTGTTAGAGTGTGTCACTCACGTGATTATATGGCATAAAACAACAGAAGGGCTTAATTGACACAATTAGAGAGTTTAGGGGCTTAATTGACACAAATAAAAAAAGTGGAGGGTCTTAATTAACACAAATGTCATAGTTTGAGAACTATATGTGTAATTTACTCTTAAATTTAATACACTAAATATAAGAAAACATCTGAGAAGGAAATATGTTAATCCATGGGATATCTTGTTACCATATAAGCAACTAAGCAACATAGACAAGGTGCAAAACAACCAAAAGCCTAAACAAACATTTTAATAGGACTAAATTCAGCAAAAAATATAGATAATTCAACACCACTAATAGACATACCAATGCATCAATAACAATGGCATGTTCACAGAGATACGACAAATCCGACCACAAAGAGACGAAAAGAGTGATAGTATAGAGGATAAAACTTGGGCAATGGTCATCACAATTTACCAATTAAGGCATATAGGTACAGACAGGTGCACACACACACACACATACATACTGCTCCAGTTACAATTATCATAACATCAAATTGTGTGGACATCAACATTGTTGTCAATTTTTCAAATTGAGATGAGCCAGCAGACTACTGTTATGTTGAGTAACATGCCTAAGAAACCAAACAGATTTTTGAGTAAATCGTATCAAATCCACTCAAAACATATATCTTTGTGTCAATTTAACTGAATGATCAGCATCATAATTCACCAACAGTGCAGGTCACAAAATCCTTGGCATGACTAAGCACAGAAATTTGTGAAAAGAAAATGCACCCACAAGAACTTAAGGCCAAGAGCAGAAACAAGAAACAAAAACATACCTTGAGAACAGGGCCAATCTTAAATACACCCATGACCTCCTCCTTGGAGACCAAACAAAGAAGAGGAATCAGTGCAAAAGGTATCTGAACTGACTGAAGCACATTAAGCCATTCGTTAAGAACATCTAATTTCTGGTCAGAGGTATCAAAAACAAGAGCAACAATCAGAGTGGGGATGATGGCAGAGCTCCTCGTTATCAATGCCCTCAACCATTTTTTCAACCCCAAGTTCAAAAAACCACCCATGATAAACTGTCCAGCATAAGTGCCAGTGATTGTGCTACTTTGGCCAGCAGCTAACAATCCAATTGCCCATATGTACAAAATTGGTAACAATCCTCCACCATACTTCTCCTCAAGATACTGCCCAGCATTAACAAGGCCAATACTATTGGCTTGTTCAGTTCCATAAAACGCCTTTGCAAATACTGCTGTCACAAATAGATTGATTATGAAGGAGATTGCAAGTGCAATACCAGACTCTATTGAATAGTAATTGATAGCCTCTCGAACTCGGCCTATCTTGCGACGGTCAATCTCTCTGGACTGTACAAGTGCAGAATGTAAGAAGACATTGTGAGGCATGATAATGCAACCCACAACTCCCACGGCCTGCTGTATTGTTTTTGAGCTAAGCTTTGGAATTAAAATACCTACAATTGGGGTCCAATTTGGTAATGTTTCAGATTCAGAGAAGCTAATAACACATAATTACAGAAAACAAAAGGCTGATATTCTAAAATTTCCAACGCATCAGAAAAATATCCTCACCCTGAAGAAGTTCTACGCCATTGGGCTTTGTTTCACCAAACATCCAGGCAAAAGAACATGCCATTATGGCAATGAGAACTGCGAAAAGTGCTTCTAATTTCCTCACCCCATAGTTCTCAAGCAACAGAAGAATGAAACTGCAACAAGAGATTGAAGGAAGCATACTTGTCAGNTGGGGATGATGGCAGAGCTCCTCGTTATCAATGCCCTCAACCATTTTTTCAACCCCAAGTTCAAAAAACCACCCATGATAAACTGTCCAGCATAAGTGCCAGTGATTGTGCTACTTTGGNACACACACACATACATACTGCTCCAGTTACAATTATCATAACATCAAATTGTGTGGACATCAACATTGTTGTCAATTTTTCAAATTGAGATGAGCCAGCAGACTACTGTTATGTTGAGTAACATGCCTAAGAAACCAAACAGATTTTTGAGTAAATCGTATCAAATCCACTCAAAACATATATCTTTGTGTCAATTTAACTGAATGATCAGCATCATAATTCACCAACAGTGCAGGTCACAAAATCCTTGGCATGACTAAGCACAGAAATTTGTGAAAAGAAAATGCACCCACAAGAACTTAAGGCCAAGAGCAGAAACAAGAAACAAAAACATACCTTGAGAACAGGGCCAATCTTAAATACACCCATGACCTCCTCCTTGGAGACCAAACAAAGAAGAGGAATCAGTGCAAAAGGTATCTGAACTGACTGAAGCACATTAAGCCATTCGTTAAGAACATCTAATTTCTGGTCAGAGGTATCAAAAACAAGAGCAACAATCAGAGTGGGGATGATGGCAGAGCTCCTCGTTATCAATGCCCTCAACCATTTTTTCAACCCCAAGTTCAAAAAACCACCCATGATAAACTGTCCAGCATAAGTGCCAGTGATTGTGCTACTTTGGCCAGCAGCTAACAATCCAATTGCCCATATGTACAAAATTGGTAACAATCCTCCACCATACTTCTCCTCAAGATACTGCCCAGCATTAACAAGGCCAATACTATTGGCTTGTTCAGTTCCATAAAACGCCTTTGCAAATACTGCTGTCACAAATAGATTGATTATGAAGGAGATTGCAAGTGCAATACCAGACTCTATTGAATAGTAATTGATAGCCTCTCGAACTCGGCCTATCTTGCGACGGTCAATCTCTCTGGACTGTACAAGTGCAGAATGTAAGAAGACATTGTGAGGCATGATAATGCAACCCACAACTCCCACGGCCTGCTGTATTGTTTTTGAGCTAAGCTTTGGAATTAAAATACCTACAATTGGGGTCCAATTTGGTAATGTTTCAGATTCAGAGAAGCTAATAACACATAATTACAGAAAACAAAAGGCTGATATTCTAAAATTTCCAACGCATCAGAAAAATATCCTCACCCTGAAGAAGTTCTACGCCATTGGGCTTTGTTTCACCAAACATCCAGGCAAAAGAACATGCCATTATGGCAATGAGAACTGCGAAAAGTGCTTCTAATTTCCTCACCCCATAGTTCTCAAGCAACAGAAGAATGAAACTGCAACAAGAGATTGAAGGAAGCATACTTGTCAGATGATGAATTTAATTCTCACTTAAGGCTCTGTTTGGTTTTTGCTTCCTAAAAACAGGTTGACCAGAGAAATAGAAAAAAGAACACCAATTATTTTGATTGGCATACATTTAAGGCTCTCTGAAATCCCCACCCCAGAAAAGCACAAAGAATTAAAAATAATAATAATAATATATATATATGTATATATAAATACAAAATCAAAAGGGTACAGCGAAAACCTACGCAGAAAGACGCATTAAATTCAAAATTTTGGTTTTGTTTAGTTTGCATCTTAGAAATTATTTTTCTATTTTTGGAAATAGTTTCTTGCTTTAATTTTTTAAATACTGAGAATATAAAGTGGATAGATTTAGCTAACAAGTTAAGACTATTTTATATATTTTTGAAAATAAAATTTCCAGAATTTAACCACCACCACCACTCTTCCACCAATATTATCACCACAGTTTTATTTTCGTTGTTTTCAAGGTTATTGTCTAAAAACATTTTACTTAATACTTTTGAAATCATATAACCAAACAAATTATACAATACAAAAAAAACCAAAAAAAAACAACTGTTTTAAAAAAAAAAACTGTTTGAACACCGTTTTTATTCTAAACTATTTTTAAAATCATATAACCAAACAAATATCAAAACATAAAAAATAAANAAATTTTACTCATAGTACTTTTGAAATCATATAACCAAACAAATTATACAATACAAAAAAAACCAAAAAAAAACCAACTGTTTTAAAAAAAAAAAAAACTGTTTGAACACCGTTTTTATTATAAACTATTTTTAAAATCATATAGCCAAACAAATATCAAAACATAAAAAATAAATAATTTTTAAATACTAATTTTTGAGANACAACTGTTTTAAAAAAAAAAACTGTTTGAACACCGTTTTTATTCTAAACTATTTTTAAAATCATATAACCAAACAAATATCAAAACATAAAAAATAAATAATTTTTAAATACTAATTTTTGAGATGAAAATCAAAGGAGACCTTCATTTTCTATCTCTTTTCTTCCATTTTCCGGCAATTATGGTTAGGTTATCCTCTTTCATGAAGAACAATGAAACCCTAAAAACAGGTGTGGGTGGGTGAGAGAGAGAGAGGGGTTACCAATCGCAAGCAGAAATGACAACACCAGCCCATATAGGCAAGATCCCATTGCTCAAAATCTTAATAGCAATAGCACTCCCAATAACCTCCTGAATATCAGCCCCAATCAGAGCCAGTTCAGCCATGACCCACAACAACAACCTCGCCCACTTGGGATACTCATCCCTACAGAGCTCAGACAAGTGGCGCCCAGTAGCCACGCCAAGCCGAGCCGAGAGAAGCTGAACCAGAAGTCCCATAGCTGTGGCCCACAACAACAGCCACAGCAGAGAGTAACCTGCGATCGAACCCGCCTGAAGATTTCCCTCCAGATTCCCCGGATCAAGAAACGCTATGCTCATTAAGAACCCAGGTCCGGTGAAGAGCCACAATTTCTTCCATGAAAACGGCGGCGTTCTGGTGTAGTCGTCTGAATTTTGGCCTCCAGCATCGTCGACTCCGATGACGTAGACTTTTTCCGTTGATTCGTAGGCTGGTTCTTCATTGTCGGAATCAAGTGTTGGGTCAAGTAATAATTGTTGGTGTTCTTCTTGAGGAGGCATGATTTGCAGAGGCAGAGTGCTTGGTCGAATTGGAGAGTGGAGAGAATGGGTGAGGACATGAACGGTGGCTTTATGGTCTTCAACGGATTAAGGATCAAGAAAGGAACCTTTGAAAACTAGTCCTATTGAGTTGTTTCCACGCAGGTAAAAATAAGGTTTTTTCGGTGAAAAAATACCTAAAAATCTTTTATAGTGAGCTAATTTAATTGCGAAAAACCTTAAAATGTTTTATAGCGGCAGCAAGAATGATAAAAAAAATTGAAGGATGTTAAATTAGAAAAGACATTTTTCCGTCAATTTTTTTTTTTTTTTTTGTATTTAGTAGGATATAAATGTGAAAGGATGAAAAAATGTATATATATTTATTGATGTATATTTATAATATAAAATATGATAACTTCAATAAATTTATTTGACGTTCTCAGATAAACTTATAAAATAGCTACCAACATTTTTAATCATTCACATTAAATTTTTTTTCACCCCAATTTCACGACTTTTCACTTGCGTGTGTCTTCAAGTACGAATTATTCCTAATATAATACAATTTATAATAGATAAATACTAGGATATATGTATATACTAAATACTACAAATAGCATACATTTTAGCAGACATAATCAACTTTTCTGCCCAATTCAGTTACTTTTTTATCATTTTTATTATTATTTCTTACAAAACAAAATATTTTATCTATGTTTACAATTTTTCATCAAACCACACAAAGCATAAGGGGAGAGAGAGAGAGAGAGCGTGTGCTTGAAAACAATTTCTACCTCAATTTTTTTTTCTTAATTTTAAATTATTGAATTGATCTCCTCCAATGAAATTTAAACATGTGACGAATATAGCCACTTCCAACTTTGTGATAACTACTTCACAGTTGAACTTTCATCAATGTTATTAATTATTTTATATGTATTTTTTTAAAATATTAATTTAACATATTAATAATTATTTTTTAAAATAATTTTAGCATGGAGTGGTAGTTGTTGGTAGCGATGAGGCTGAGGCATGGGTAAGGGTGGTGGTGACTATAAAACAATATTACAAATTTTAAACGTCACGACGACTGTTAATAAATATTAAACTGATCAAATTTGAAAAATCTATATACGTAATTAAGTATTCTTGTGCCTTTTATTTTTTGGGTTAAATAGCTTCGACTTTATTTAGGCCACAATTTTAATCCAAATATTTGACCAGCCTAGATGGTAATCAAATTAAAAAGATATGAGTTTAAGAAACTTCATTGAATACTTTCTAATTTCATAACATTGTAAATTGATTAATTTTCCAAATGATATCTCTTATACATGTAACCTATGAAGTTCATTATACTAGAAGTTAACATCTGGTTAACAAAAATAGGCTATTCTTTGTGGACTAAAATGCAGAAAACTCTAGACTATAGATAAACCAACATTTAGGGTGGTTGAGTCTGATTTTTAGTAATTTAAATGTTTTAGATTCAATTCTTTCTCACACTCCCTAAAAAGTAGTCACTCTTGTTCCTTAGGTATATGCTCGAACCCAACTCTAGCCACGGTGATAGTCATTGAACTCGAGAGAGTTATTGGTGTAAGCCTATACAGGTATAGCAAAAAAATAAACCAATTTTGATGAACCTATAAAGAATTATCTGCAAAGTGCAGATATCCATGACTTAAGAATATATTAGGGTAATTCGTATCTGAAGGTACAGTAAAACGTAAGTGAGAAATAATGTATTTGGAGGAAAAATTCAATATGAATGATTTTGAAAGTGATGTTAGTAGCCGTTGGATAAATCTATTTACGATCGTTAAATAAATTTATTGAACACTGCCTTATTTTATATTATAGATATACTGACTAAACAAAAGGAAACAAAAGTCTCACAAATTTTTTAGTAAGTCTATACTTGTGAATTTTCTAAACTAGTGAACCATATTTGATTTATAAAGATAATGTACATATTAAAACTATATACAACATTAAATAAAAAGAATGCTAAAATAAATAGATAAACATAGGAATGACATGTGAAGCAGCCTAGCTAGAAAGTTTATATAAACAACTACTTGTTAAAAAATCAGGTTCTTTAATAGAAAGGAGTGGTTGGAGATTAAAACTAAATGTCAAGGATTTCAATTTAATTGTTCTTGTTATTATTTATTGAACAATGCTAGGGATTCCAAATGGAATTTCAAATGGTTCTGGACCCTTGGATTAGTGGTTTCCAATGAATTTTTTTTAATGAGATGCACTCATTCAAGAGTTCATACTCATTTGGGATCCTAAATTTGAAATCCATATTATTTTTTTTATTTTTTTGTCTTTCTTCTTGACAGAAGGGTTGTTTTGGTTATTGCGCAAGTAACTATTTATCTAATATTACAAGTAACAGGTTGAATTCTCAATTTATAAAAAAATTAATAACAGTCAATATTGATTCAACTTAAAAAAAATTCCGGCTTAAAAATATCATCTTCTATGCACAATTTTCAATTTTAAAAAATTTAATCAACACACTCACTAATGTCAAACAACCCCACTAATTTACATCTACCTATTTTCTCTCTCTTTCTATCCCCCCATCTCTCTTATTTTTTCTATATTCATTTTAACTTTAAATCACATAATAAAAAGAAAAGAAAATTAAATAAATTATTATTTAAAATATGAATGTTTTACGATCGATACTTAATTTTTGATAAATATAAAATAAGTTTAAACACAAATTATTACTATTTATAGATAAAGAAGATCATAGTGAACTACTCACATGTTTTAAAACCCAACAACATCACGTTGTCATTGCCAAATATGCAATGCTATTTTTTTGAAAGCATGTCACAATTTTTTTAAAAATTTTATAATATTATTCTAATCAATTTTTGTCATCAAGTTTGGATAAGAGCTCACCATTCCATCCAATCCGGTAAATAATTGGGTAAATTTTATAATTAGTCCCTGAACTTTGATTTCGATTTTAATTTGATTCATGAACTTTCAATTATTTTAATTTAGTCTCTTAACTATTAATTTTATTTTAATTAAGTCATTTCATCAATTTTCACTATTAGAACAAATGAAAAAAATATGATTTAACGGTGAAAATTGATCGGATCAGATTAATTTCTATTTAATTTAAAGGTAACAATAGACAAAATGACTCAAGTGGAACAAAATGTATAATTAATAGACTAAATTAAGATAATTAAAATTTTAGGGATCAAATTGAGACCGAATTTTTTGAGTAATTATGATTTTTACCATAAATAATTTGTACCCTTCCTCATAACTACGACCATCCTCCTGTCTTCCTAAAGTCTTTTATGGACCCCACTAAGTACAATCACTCTTGTAGCTTCGTTTCCAAGTGGAAGTGAAGTGTTTTGCTTTCTCAAGGTGGGTCTTGTCACCCGTCCACTTTAACGTAATGGCAATCACTTCACGACAAGGAGCGTGATGGGTGACCGAGTAAGTGAGAAAGCACGAGGAAACTCAGGTCTCGTGTCGTCATTTGTAAGTGGGGGGAGAGGTTCTGTTCCGACGTCGGTACAATACCGTAAAAAAGTGTAGATATTAATTTTTTATCATTAAATATTATTCATTGAAGGTAATAATTTTATCTATAAAATTTGTATATTTTTTTTTTNACAGTGTAGATATTAATGTTTTATCATTAAATATTATTCATTGAAGGTAATAATTTTATCTATAAAATTTGTACATTTTTTTTTAAAGATTATAATTTTATCTATAATGGTGATCATTTTATCATTAAATGTGATAATATCACCTTAAAGAGTTGCAAAAGAATTTATAATTGATCTTAATTTCCTTTGAATGACATTCAAGCCGCCTTTTTTTTTTTTTTTGCATTCTACTTTTACTTTTTTACCATGGCAGACCACCTTGTCTGTAATTCCGCGTAAGGGATAGGCTCTTCTACCGATGTTTATACTATACCGTAAAATTGTATGATTATCAATTTTTTTGTCATTAAATATTACTTACTAAAGGTAATAATTTTATCTATAAAAATTGTTCTTTTTTTTTTTAAAGATTGTAATTTTATTTCTAAATGTGATAATATTATTTTAAAGAGTTGTAAACCCACGTCAAAAAATTGTAACCACACCTCACATTTAGAGGTGGTATTTTTACGTTTATTGCTTGTAACATAAAACCTTTTTTTTTTTAACATAAAACCTTCGATAGTTATAATTTCACATCCAAATGTAATAATTTTATCATAAATTGTTATACCCTCATATCAAAAAATTATAATTTAACTTTTAAAATTGATAATTTTATCTATACAGAATGTTATTTAGCCTCAAATAATTATAACATTACTTTCAAATATAGTAATTTTACTTTCAATTATTATAACCTTACCTAAAGAGTTTGTATATGACCTTTAAAGGTGATAATTTTACTTTTACTGGTTATAATTTAATCTCAAATGGTTATACCCTCACCTTCAAAGGTAGTAGTTTTATCTTAAAAGATTGTAACCTTTTTTTTAGAGGTTATAACCCCACCTCTAAGAGTAATATCTTTATTTCTACAAGCTGCTTCTTAACCATAAATTATTGTAATTTTATCTCTGAAGATAGTAACTTTATCTTAAAATTTGATAATTTTATCTCAAGAATTATAATTTTGTCTTTGCAAGTAGTAACATTACCTTTAAGTTGAAACTTCATCTCGATCCCAATGCTTCCGATGGATCCAAATTATTATTATTACATATTTTTTTTTGTGATTCCACTCTATTAGGATCGATCATTACTATATAAGATTAATTTTAATGCATTTGATGGTCCAAAAATTCTTTAAAACTAAATATTTGGTGGTTCTAATTAGATAGGATCGATTATGACTAGCCGAACTTTTTCTTTTTTTTTTGAATTAGTCCCGATCCTATATTTAGTTACATCAAATTGACATGTAATTTTTTGAAATTAATTTTTAATTTTATCCAATTAATACTCAATTCATCAAAAATAACTTTAAATTGACATTCATATTAAATAAATATTCAAAATTATAAATTTAAAATTCATCAAATTAATATTAAATTGGCATTCAACATTTTGTTCTGTTTGAAATATAAATTGATGAAATTAAATATTATAAAAAAAATAAAAGGTTCAATTAATGTTAAAGGTTAAATTGATAAAATATTAATTTGGTGAAAATTAATTTTAAATTGATGAAATTAAAGGTCAATTTATTATCAAATTGACAATAAATCGAAGAAATTAAATTTTAAATTAGTAAACTCAAATGTTAATTTGGTTAAATTAAAAGTTAATTTGATGCTAATTTAATAAATTGAATATTAATTAAATAAAATTGAAAGTTAATTTAGTGCCACTTTTATAAAAAAAAAAATTTAAAATTGATGAATTTAAATATAAATTAGAAAAACGGTTCAAAATAAATATTAAATTAATGAAATTTAATATTAATTTGAGATAAAATTACCATATTAATTTAAATATAAATTACGACTCGATTTTCGAAAAGTTCGACTGCGATAAGAGCGAGACCGTCGATCTCGAGAAGTTCAGGAACGAGATGAGCAAGATTTCGCTTGCGATCTCCGATGGATTGGGCTCGCCGCCGATTCAGATGGCTCTTGAAGACGATGATCAGAGTTTCCTCAACAAGGCTGTAGATCTTGAAGCTTCTAAGCTTTCTCAGGCTTCCTGAACGGTTGATCTTGATGGGGCTTCTTGGACCGTTGATCTAACGGTCCACATTATGTTGTACCTGCTAAAATAATCAGAATAAGGACTTGTCATTTTTCTTTTTTTCTTTTCCTTTATCTTTTTATCTTTTTTATATATTTGTAATTGTGATAGAAATACATACTTTTTTAATTGACTATCCAAACATATTTTTTGTAAAATCATTTATAGTTAAGTATTTTTTTTAATAAACATCCAAACGATGTTTTTAAAAAAATATATTTTTAATAAATTAATTTTAAAAAATAATTATTCAAAAAATACTTTTAAATTCAATAAATCATCTTAAACACCGGCTTAGTNTTAAACAAAAATAAAATTATTCAAGGAAAGGACATGACCGATCACAAATACAAAAATACTCAAGATTGATCATAAATTTCTTTTGAGCAGTTGTAATTATCATTTATAAGTTGTACTAATGGGTATTTGATCCAATGATATTCTTTGTCTTGTAAAAATTTTGTCTTGTTGAGATCAAGGGTTCAAATCTCCTTTCCCCCTCCTCCTGTCCCTCTCCCTCTCCCTCTCCCTCCCCCTCTAAAAAAAACATAAATATAAGTTGTAACTTTACATTTAAAATGTAATAGTCAGTATTANAGCCCAAAGACTCAATTTGTGTTATAAATTTGGTCTGAATTTCTAACCTGATTTCAAAAAATTCAACAAATTTAACACAATATGGCCAATCCAATCAAGTTCATTAGACTCAAGGAGCTACTACATCAGTAAGGAGTAGATAAGGTCATCCAAGAGCCTCCTCCTCTATCACCTTGAAATAAGGGTCATCTAAGGGTCTTTTCTACCACCTTGGAGTAAGGGTCATCCAAGAGTCTCCTCTACGCCACCAAGGGAGCATCTAGGAGCCTCATCCTCACCACCAAAAGAGCAACCAGAAGTCTCACCCTCGCAGCCTGAAGAGAGTTAACCTCCCTCATCCTTGAACAAGTTATTTAGAGAGCACACCAACCGTCACACCTCACCCATTGAGAAGATGATAAATTATCTCCGCCAGATCAGCAACCTACTTACTATCAAACAGTCCTAAGTCATTATGACCGTCAGACTAGTCATAAAATTACTATACCAAGCCACTATAAATTGTAGTTCCCCCAACACTTGGGGGGCATCAGACTCATTTGATCATAATTCTCTCCTCCCCTCTCAAAGCTTGTAATCATGTGTTCTCCCTCCACACCAGAGATAATAAAATTTCGGTGAACTTAGCCATTCAAAGTGGACGTAGGTCGTATTGACCGAACCATTATAAATCATGTCTTCTCTCTCATTCTACTTACTGCATTTTATACTATAACTTGACTAGTGGTGTACAAACTAATTTGTGCATCATCATGCTTGATGGCTGCTTTGTTTGCGTTTCATCGAGAGAGTGGGTTTGATCGCTACTTTGTTTGCGTAAGAGAATCAAATCAAATGAATTCTGATTTCGAGTCCAATTACTTAAATCTACGACAACCAAATTAAATATTTTTAATGGAAAAATCTAAGATACCCATTTTTTTAGATATCGTGTTAAAAATTATAAATTTTTATGATAAAATTATATTTTAAACAAAAATAAAATTATTCAAGGAAAGGACATGACCGATCACAAATACAAAAATACTCAAGATTGATCATAAATTTCTTTTGAGCAGTTGTAATTATCATTTATAAGTTGTACTAATGGGTATTTGATCCAATGATATTCTTTGTCTTGTAAAAATTTTGTCTTGTTGAGATCAAGGGTTCAAATCTCCTTTCCCCCTCCTCCTGTCCCTCTCCCTCTCCCTCTCCCTCCCCCTCTAAAAAAAACATAAATATAAGTTGTAACTTTACATTTAAAATGTAATAGTCAGTATTATAATTAAATAAAAAATATATTATTTTAAGTGTTCTCTTAGGATTAATAAAATGATGGTAAAAATTTGAATTATTGTTGAAACATTGATATGAAGTTTAAGTTTCAAGAATAGAGACTTTCGGATCAAACTTAATTTCGAAGGTGTTTAAGCTTGAGAATTGTGGGTTTAGTAAGTTTCTAAATATTTTTATGTTAAAATAAAACTACCATTAAATTTGGAACGTCGAAAACTTTCAAAGAAGTGATATGAGATGTATTACAAGTTTGAAAGTATTTCGGAGTTTAAACACATTTTGGAGAGAAATTGGGTAAAAATAAATTAGACACTACTTTAGTATTTTAGCCATAACTTTTTACCCATATGTCTGATAGATATGATTTTTNAGTTCCCCCAACACTTGGGGGGCATCAGACTCATTTGATCATAATTCTCTCCTCCCCTCTCAAAGCTTGTAATCATGTGTTCTCCCTCCACACCAGAGATAATAAAATTTCGGTGAACTTAGCCATTCAAAGTGGACGTAGGTCGTATTGACCGAACCATTATAAATCATGTCTTCTCTCTCATTCTACTTACTGCATTTTATACTATAACTTGACTAGTGGTGTACAAACTAATTTGTGCATCATCATGCTTGATGGCTGCTTTGTTTGCGTTTCATCGAGAGAGTGGGTTTGATCGCTACTTTCTTTGCGTAAGAGAATCAAATCAAATGAATTCTGATTTCGAGTCCAATTACTTAAATCTACGACAACCAAATTAAATATTTTTAATGGAAAAATCTAAGATACCCATTTTTTTAGATATCGTGTTAAAAATTATAAATTTTTATGATAAAATTATATTTAAAAAATAAAATAAAATAATTCAAGGAAAGGACATGACTGATCACAAATACAAAAATACTCAAGATTGATCATAAATTTCTTTTAAGCAGTTGTAATTATCATTTATAAGTTGTACTAATGGGTATTTGATCCAATGATATTCTTTGTCTTGTAAAAATTTTGTCTTGTTGAGATCAAGGGTTCAAATCTCCTTTCCCCCTCCTCCTCTCCCTCTCCCTCTCCCTCCCCCTCTAAAAAAACATAAATATAAGTTGTAACTTTACATTTAAAATGTAATAGTCAGTATTATAATTAAATAAAAAATATATTATTTTAAGAGTTCTCTTAGGATTAATAAAATGATGGTAAAAATTTGAATTATTGTTGAAACATTGATATGAAGTTTAAGTTTCAAGAATAGAGACTTTCGGATCAAACTTAATTTCGAAGGTGTTTAAGCTTGAGAATTGTGGGTTTAGTAAGTTTCTAAATATTTTTATGTTAAAATAAAACTACCATTAAATTTGGAACGTCGAAAACTTTCAAAGAAGTGATATGAGATGTATTACAAGTTTGAAAGTATTTCGGAGTTTAAACACATTTTGGAGAGAAATTGGGTAAAAATAAATTAGACACTACTTTAGTATTTTAGCCATAACTTTTTACCCATATGTCTGATAGATATGATTTTTGGATAGGAGAAACTAGATTTCAATGGTTACAAAAGTATATTTCATGAAATTTTCGTAAATCAATTTCTAACTAGATCAAAATCGAGTGAGAAGTTAGGATAAAAAGTCTTCGACATTCGAACGCTGAAATGTCGGAACCATTGTTCAAACACATGACTAGACGTTGAATTAAATAGAATTGTAAGAAAAAAAAATAGTTGGTGGAGTTTGAACTCCTTGCTAAAAATGACCCTGATCAGATTTTAGAGTTTTCTCTGTTTTTCACCATATAAATATTATAGTACCACAATTTGAAGTGTTTTTACCTATTTTTCAACCCCAAAAGCCTAAAAAAGTTTGAGGAGAAAAAAATGAGGAAGAACATGCTAAATTTTGAAGGATTAACGCGTGATAATCGCATTAAAACGTTTTAGAATAAATTATCTCCAAATTAAGATAAGGGTTGTCACAGCCCATCCAAAAAAGAGATAGAGTATGAATAATTCTAACCTGTTAACTTTAATCCACAATAACAAGAATATTTAACCTCTCCAATAATTTTTATGACATTACTTAAATATGAAAATATGACATTTATGATGAGCTCGGATCTGACTGGGTTGAACCCAATCCATATAGTAAGCTCGAATTAGTTAGAAAAAAAGGTCAAATCTAGCTCATGACCTCAATCTAGTCCAAAGTTCAAGGGGTTCAGAAATATTAGCGCACGTGAGGAGCAATTATCGGGATAGACACTCTCTAAAGTTAAGACTATCTATAATTGTACTTATTCTAGTTGTAGCTATCCTCCCCAAAAAATTAGTAACCTATCCATCACGTCACCGCCTTAATCAAGGTTTTGTGCTTATAAATTGTAAACCCTCTTCACATGAGGGAGCATCTTTCTACACACTTTACAAATCTATCTCTCTCATTGTTGTCAAGAACATACCCTTGCCCTCTCTCTCTCTCACTAACTACTTCATCAATAAAGACCATTGACCACCGTTATCGTCTTTAAAGTAGAGTTGGTCATCTTGATTGAACCACTATATACATCTGTGTGTTACTTGTGTTGATCAATATTTGTCTTCTTCATTAATTGCATTATTGATTACTTCATCGATTAATTGCCTTATTGGTTAACAAAAATAGGCTTTTCTTGGTCAAAAATTGGTGGATTAAAATGCAGCAAACTCTAGTCTATAACAAATTTAGATAAATTAACATTTATGCCCTGTTTGGTATGAAGGATAGAAAGTAAGAGGAATAAAAAATATGAATGATACAATTTCTATCCTCAAAGGAAAGAAAGTAGCAATGATACACTTTCCTTCCTTTATGTTTGATAAGATAAATGAAAAGTAGAAATGATTAATTTTTTTATGTTTGGTATTAGTGAAAAAATATAAATACGTAATATGTAATTGATAAATTTGATATATAGACAAATAACATACATTTCAACACACATAATTAACTTTTCAGCCACTTTTTCCCAAGTTTTGGAGAGATTAATTTTGGTGAGTTGAAAGAAAAGTCAATCAATTCACTTTTCCATCTTTCCTATTTTTCTTCTTTATCAAACATGATGCTTTA